TTAAATCCAACACCTGCTCCTGGAGAACAGCACTTTCTCTTCCAGGTGCTCAGCATCGCAGTCCACATGTTTCTGCTGCCTTTTCAATGCGAGTGACCCTTGTTCCCAGGAGCTTCCCAGGGCAGAAGTCCCCACAAAACTCACAACAGAAGTTAGGCGTTAGAAAACTTTATTTGCTTTTTTTCCATTTCAGGAACTGCTTATTTGCCTGGAAGGATGATGCCATCATACTGAGAGAGAGAGAAAACCAAGTGAGAAAGCAGAGTCAGGTAAAGGTGCAGCACCACTGTGGTGCTCCCCAGCCTTGTACTGCTAATTTCAAACATAACCATTCAATTCCACCCCTCAGCCACAGAAACCCAAAGCCCCAACCCTTTGGGGATTGATCTGACTAGAATTATACTTTAACCCTTGTGCACTCCCCAAAGTTTGGCCCCTGTAGACAATCCAGGCCACAATAAGCAGAACCAGGGAATTAAGGGAAGAAGCAGGAGCGGATGGGAGGCCTTACTGTGCAGGTACAACCAGAGCACAGCAAGGCACAGCAGCCAAGGCAGAGCTGCCACAGACTCTTTACCCTTTCCAGCTCCGACCAACCAAGGTTCCAAGGATTTGCAATCAAATTTTTGGCCATCCACATTCACTCTACAGTCTAAGAAACACATACAGAGTGTTGAACCCAAGAATGGGTTTTACTTGGCCTGATCCACTCTCCAAGCCTGCCAGCTGACCTAAGAACTCCACAGGACAAACAAATCCCAACCCTGCTTGCTCGCTGTGATCCAGGTACATGCAGCCCTTCTTCCACTGCTCCAGAGCAGTTTAAAGGCATGTTTTAAGCAGCCTTTAGCAAGGATTTTGCCTACTACAGCATCATGCTCAACAACTTGCTTTAGTCTTTCTGCAAGAAGGCCCAACAAGACCTGCAAAGCACTTTGTCAATAAGGCTGCTACCAATCTCTTGGGATAAAAGAATAAAGCCAGACTCTACCTTCTGCTGGAACCAGCGCATGGCTTCCTCCTTTCCGATCCTGTGCTTGGCTCCGATGCTGCCAGTCCTGCGTTTCTTGTCAGCAATACTAAAGCCAGGCCTGCCCAGCACCTGACCGGAGAGAAGATCAACAGCACTGTTTCATTCTGATTTATTATTATTTTAATCTTGCCACATATCTAGGGGGAAGTTTAGAGTTTCCAGATCAGTGATAATCTTGCTGTCCAAATTACTGACAAGACTTCACAGCAAAACCTTCTATGGCCACGACACAAACCGAAAACCATGCAACTTCTGGGCAGTCAGGTAAACTGAGAGCTCCCAGCCTGGACACAATGTACACTCAAAAACACCAAGGGGAGTCTGGAAGATGCCCCATTTCCCACCTAAAGATCTCAGAACCCAGAAAAGGATACACTTAACATTGTTAACCCACATGGAACGGCTTTCCTCCCATTTCCCAAGGTACATCTGGGACACAGCAGAGCAGAGACTCACAGGTGCCGTCCCCATCCTCACACTCATCTCCCATGCACGGCAGCACAGCAGGACTCGGTCACTACAGCTGGTTCCTGGCACTGCTGCAGGCAGCAGGGAGGCTTAACAACCGCCACGCGCCACCTCGGATACAGGAATCCGCCAGCCCAGATCCCGCATTTCCAGACCTGCCCCTTCTAAAAAGCCTTCAGTCCCTGAACTCCACACACTCTGCGTCCTACAAAGCTGCTCAATATCTAGCCTGTGATTCCTCAGTGTTATCCCAAAAATAACACTAGGGAGCAAAAGGATTTGCTTCCAAAGAGGCTTTGTGAGACATGCTCTAAGTAAAGGATCTTGCAGTGGCCCTGGGAAGCTCAGCTTAGACTTGCATTTTGTTGACATCGCTGCTTCTTCCAGCACTGGACAGGAAGCCAACACAAGCTAGAGTCACCATCGAAGTTTTTCTGCAGTTTTCATGCATAAGTAGCAACCAGGGAAGCAGAGAATACGCACCACGTAAAAGTCCAAGCCGTAGATACCAATGCTGGGGTCGTATTTAATCCCCAAATCAATGTGCTCCTGGATTCCAAAGCCAAAGTTTCCAGTGTCTGAGAAGTTGTTTTTCCTCAACTCATATTCTCGCACCTGAAATATTTATCACAAGTTATTATTTCATTATTGACTACAAAAAAAAGCCACCAGAAAAGTTCTGCATGTTCTAATAACTTCCAGAGGTTCTTTACACAGAAGTCTTCAGCCATCATATTCTGATTCCACAACCTTAAAACCCCAGCAGAGGCAGAATCCCAATAAAAGCAGAGACTGCACCAAGAAGCTCCACATTAAGGAGAGATTGCAAACAGAGCAGCCTTTGGGTCAGCCCCCCAGCTGCCTTCCCACCCCTCAGCACCCACGCCTGACCTTAGCTACCCAGCATGCAGCATCTCCAAGACTCTCCAGTCAGGAGAGTTCAAGATTTGTGTTTTCTTGCAAATCATGGATCCCAAACAGGCAAATTCTCCCCTTCTCCAGGCCCTCCTGTTAACTGCACCTCACTCAGCATCTTCAAGACCTTCCAGTCACGGCAGCTCAAGCTTTGTGCTTCAGCCAAACCCCGGAGACCCCAACCGGTCGGACTCCCTCCTCCAGCCGCCTCTCCAGAACCTCAACCCCAGCCCACGCCGCGTCTCCAAAGCGCTCCCGTTAGGGCAGCTCCACCTTGGTGTTTCCCACCACATCCCGGCTCCCGCTCTCACCTTCAGCCCCTTCTCCAGGATCTCCTCCGCCTTGGCGCCGCGCACCGTGCAGTGCACCGCGATCTTCTCGTTCCTCCGGATGCCGAAGGACCTCACGGTGTAACGCGCTGCAAGGGGCCGGCGCGGCAGCTGAGCGGCTGCCCCGC